AAAAAAAAAAAAAAAAAAAAAAAAACTTGTCTCCTCACCTGCTAACTTGAAACCAGGTAAATGGTTGCATCTTATTCATCCTAAAAATGTCCTACTTTTTTTCCCATCTTTCCAAGAATTCCCAGTTCCTCATATTGTTCACAGAACTCCCGTTGTTGTGGGGTTTTGGGACTTTCTACTAACAAAGATGACTTTTGCCACCCCCATGCTAGAACAAGATTAAAGATTAGGAGTAGGGTGAGTTAACAGCCAGATGAAATTGAGAGATAGGAAAAAGTAAGAAGTTAGGGGGAGTTGCTTCTCCTCACTGAAAGGATGGCTACTTTAAGGGTATCAAGCAGGGAGTCTTTATGGATTACACTGGTTCATTCCCACTGCACCCCACTGAAGCCTACACCTCTTATCGAAATCAAAGATGTGTGCTTGTGAATACTTCCCATGTGAGTGACATTTGATTTAAAGACATTTTCTGAATCTGAACACTTTACCATGGACTCCTTAATTGCAATAAAATTGATGAAAAATACCTGGGAATATCAGTAGTCTATCAACCTGTGATTCACTATAAGACGGAGGAAAATTAGACTTCTAAAATTTTACCTAATGCAAAGTTTCACGTTTTAATATTCAGAATTATTCAGAATCTCCTGGAAGATTGTGTAAATGCTGGTTGCTTGGCACTGGATGATACTGGGAGGCTGAAAGTTACTCCAGAGAATAAAGACTCCCAGATTCTGAGATCTGACTTTGGCCACCTGTTTAACGAAATGTTCTGGACTAAAAAGTTTTTCTGACCACAGAAAGTTTGTCATGTAACAGAGTGAAGCAGCACACACAGCTGGAGCAAAGACTATGTTCCGATGCTTTTCCTGACTTTGCCATTCTTATATGACTTTGGGATAATTACTTCTAGCCTCAATTTCCACATCTGTAAAATGAGGATAACACTAGTACCTATTTCTTAGAATTTTTAGAGAATTTAAAGAGCTACTAAATATATAAAACTTAGAACAGTTCCTAGTACTTAAGAAACACCAAATATAATTTAGCTATTAGTCTTAAGGATACCTAAGTAGTCTTCCTTAAAACTATACTGAATCCCTAAGGCATAATTCTATACTTCTGCACAGTCATTTACAGTTACAAGTCTTCCAATACTCAGGAGAAAGATCTTTGCGCTGTCCAGAAGTTGAACAATATACTGAGCATGTCCTAGAGCATGGTTTTGTGACCAGGAAGAAAGAAACAATCTGGAATCAGAAATGCTGGAGTTGTGTTTTAAGCTTTTTTTAAGAAACAAAGTTGTGGTCATTGACCAATACTTTTTATTTATTAATTTTACTAATTATAAAATGTGAACCATGGAGGCTGGCTGAGCTAAGAAACTGTAGCATGAACTTCGAACTGTGAACACGGGTTATAGAAACACGGATTTTGTTATTCGATAAAATTAAAAATGCAGTAGATTATTTGGTACCTACATCGTGATATGCTGCTGAATAGTTATGCATAATAAATTAATTTGTTAGCACTGCATTTATAATACCATATCAAAATTCAGCTACTCGGGAGGCTGAGGCAGGCAAATCGCTTGAACCCTGGGGGTGGAGGTTGCAGTGAGCTGAGATCACGCCATTGCCCTCCAGCCTGGACGACAGAGTGAGACTACATCTCAAAAAAAATAGCTTTTTATTAATTTTTGGACAAGCTGCATGGATTTAAGATGGCAGACTCTGGAGCCAAACTGCTGATACTTGAAACCCACCCCCACTACCCACCCTGTGCATGAACTCTGGCAGCTTACTTAATTCCCCTCTCTACCTCAGTTCCCTCATTGTAAATGGAGAAATAACTAAACCTCCTCATTAGCTTTTGATAATAACTAAATTATGTAATATATTCAAAGCACCTAGAATAGTGCTGGGCATATAGTAAACTCCCCAAAATTGTTTGCTTACATTATTATTTATCACTTAGCACTTTTTCTGGTCAACATTAGATATAAATTTTAATGGTTTTATTTTAAAACTGCAGGGCATTTTAATGTTCATTTAAATTTAATATATTATAATGGATCACTTAATGGTTAGACTGTACATCATCAGCATTACGCACACCCACAAGAAAATCGGGTGAAGACACAATGGCTTGGAAACTTATTTGAAAATAAAGTTTCTTTTTTGTTAGGTTTTATATCTTTATTCAGGTTTTTTTTAGGTTTTATATCTTTATTCAGATGTGATTCAACTATAGAATCACATCTGAATAAAGATATAAAACCTAAAAATTAGGTTTTAGCATTATAAAATCCAATGTTTTGAAATTTTTTTTTGCTCAGCAATACCGTTGTATTTTACAACTTTTATAATCCTAAAGAGATTCTCTTATTTGGAGTTTTTCATGCATTCAGGTATTTGGCATGATGTCTGATGTGATCAGTAATAAAGGTTGCAATGAAGTAGTAGCTATGTTCATTACCCTCTTGTAATCGAAAAACAACGGGGATTTTCCTTTCTGTACAGGCAGCTATGAAGTTATCAGGAAGTAACTGCTCATCTAAAAGGAACTGGTCATCTTTTCCTTGATCAGTTAGTATGCCCGGCTGAGAACCTGGATAGGATTTCACAAGATGGGTAGCATTATATGCCTTCCATTTACTTTGATCTTTTCCCAAATATCAACTAAAGGCCTTTTTGCCCCAGGGACAGAGTACAGGGTTGCAAATTGGAGCAAATGCTGACACAGGTTTGTATTTTCCAGGATTTTTCAAAGCACAGATCAGAGTCCATGGCCTCCCATGGAGTGACCAAAAATAGATGTCCTTTGGGGATCCACTGGAAAATTGGCATTTATGAGTTGGGGAAGCTCCTCTGTAATGTAAGAATACATTCTGTAGTTGGTTTTCCAAGGATCTTCTGTGGCATCAGCATAAAATCCAGCACCAGTGCCAAAGTCCCAGCTCTCATCTTCTCCTTTAGCATTGCAGCCATGAGGGCTGGTGTCTGGAGCAATGACAAAAAGACCATGTTCTGAAGCAGCTTGATGATAACCAGATTTTGATATAAAACTCTGTTCTGTGCAAATTAAACCTGAGAGCCAATACAGTGCAGGGCACTTTCCAGTTTCTGCCTTTGGTGGTAAGTAGACAGCAAATTTCATTTTGCAGTTCAGTTCAACACTGACACGTTCAAAACCTTTCTGCAATCCCCCAAAGCACTTGTTGCTGGAAATCTGCTTCAATGCCATTATTGTTGATTGCTTTTTGCTTGAACCAAAGGGTAGACAATCTTCCGGCGGCAGAGTTACCAGAAGACCAAAAATAAAGTTTCTTTCGGTCATGTCCATGATCTATGGCTACCTCTTCTCGTCACCAGTTGTTCAGTTCTGCCTCCCGCCTCTTCTTCAGTGGGACTCATTGAGTGCATGAAGTGTTTGGGGGCAGAAGGCTCCGTATAGCAGATTCTTAGGTTCCATGGACCATGAGTCTACCAATTTCCTTCCTGGAATTGCCTGCAAAATTAAACATGCAGGGAAGACAGGAAGAATCTAGAGATCTCAAAAAAAAAAAGGCGGGGGGAAAGAATATAGGGAAAATGGGCTTAGAAATAAGATAATATTAAGGTTAAGAGTTAAGAGTAAGGCCGGGTTCAGTGGCTCACGCCTGTAATCCTAACACTTTGGGAGGCTGAGGCGAGCAGATCACCTGAGGTCAGGAGTTTGAGACCAGCCTGGCCAACATGGCAAAACACTGTCTCTACTAAAAATGCAAAAATTAGCTGGGAGTGGTGGCAGGTGCCTGTAATCCCAGCTACTAGGGAGGCTGAGGCAGGAGAATTGCTTAAATCCTGGGTGGTAAAGGTTGCAGTGAGCCAAGATAGTGTCACTTCACTCCAACCTTGGCAAAAGAACAAGACTCCAACTCAAAGAAGAAAAAAAAAGTTGAGTAAAAGTAGGACGAAAAATACCAGCCCCAGTATCTTTTAGGTACTTCTCATCAGCCACCCTCTAGGTTCCTCCAAAACTGCTCATCCGGTTCAGATTTATGGCTGGGTGCTGGACAGTAGGTGTAATCTTTCCCTTCCTGTAGTACTTCGGTCATTTTATCCTTCATGCTTTAATTCAATATGCCATTATGTAGCACTTTCTCTGGGCAAAGCAATCATTCTATTAGACATTTCCCCTGGAGAAGGGAAAGGCAATTACCCAGATGAAAAAAAAAGACACAAGCATTTGTGGTTAACTGGAAGAAACTGATAAGGGTACAGAAACATTACAATCAAGTTAGTGATCATAAGTATTACGGGTGCTGAGAGAGAGGAATGACTAGTTCTGCCTGGGTAATCAGGGGCATTTTCCCAGAGGACTTAGCACTCAAGTAAGTCTCTAAGGACAAATAGGCACTCCTCGGCCTGAAATAAACCATATTTCACAGGGTCTGAGGCATGCAGAAGCATGATGTATTCTGGAAGCTGTAATTCCTTATGGTTGTAATAGAGGGAGTGTGGGTGAAGGCAGAAGACGTGGAGGAGGAGGTGGGGTCGTTGAGAAATCATGCGCCCAAATAGGTTTAATATGTCTCTTTCATCTTTCTTCTCCTCCCACCATCCTCTCTAGTGTGACTAAATGAGAGATGCTTGGAAGTTACTGTTTCTGGTTCCGGGGAAGGCGGTGAATCCACGCAGCTTGGAGAATGGCCTGGGGTGACCTAACCATCTGGAAGGTCCGTTTTCAGTTTCCAAGCTGGGACTGCTGGGTGGCTAGTGGTGACACTAAGTTACTGAACCAGATAGGGGTCTGTTATTGGATTTTCTCACGTCATAGCTAATAGCATCAGTAAAACATAAAACATAATTTACTACTGTACTTTTTAAAAGTTGCCTTATTGAAAGTTGCCTTATTGAAAATTACACGTATACTGCATTGGTACAGATGGCCAGCCCTGTGTGTGCGTGTGTGTGTGTGTGTGTGTGTGTCAACTTTTTTAGCCTGTAAAGTCTCACAAACCCTGAAGAACAAGCATGCTTTTCTAATGTTCTTAGTTGAACATATTTCTCTGTATTTAGAACAAGAGTCCAGTATGGGCTTTTTGTGTCCATGGAAGTGTCAGACCAGGTATCAATGGCCTAGGAAATGTTGAGAATCTCACAAGCCATGACCAGTTATTTATTCTCTGACAGCAGAGTGTGGAAAGGGATCAGCTTTCCTCCAGCCAGTCTTAGAGACTTGCAGTATGGTTGAAACAAATACTCTCTTCCCATATATTTTTACTCTGGATTGTGCAAAATACTTCTATCTAGCAGAAAGAGACAGAGAATTCTTTGCTCATGTTTTCCTGGGACTTACCCTAGTAACACTCCCTGGAAACTCTACCTTCCAGGTCATATAAGAGCACAGAATAGCTTAGCAGAAAAGGAAACTGATATGAAAAGTGGACAGGAAGTTGCCCAAAAAGGTCTTATTTAAATCCAAGCAGCAAAAAATGAAGAAATGCACAATTAATTGATTTCCTAATGTATTAGGAAGTAGTAACTCAATCTCTTGTGACCTAAAATTGAGTTAAACGAGGAGAAAAATAATATCAACACGTTAGTTTGTATAATGTGATGTGCTTATTAAGAAAGTCTACTGGATGGTGATGCTACACAAAACAAAATGCTCATATTTCAACATGATCTGCTTTTAAGTTACAAAAACTAAAACTTAATATACTTTCTGTTGGCATCTTATAAAAAAGTTCTTAGAGAATCTCAGCCTAATAGTTCAGTACCAGCAGCACCAATTTTGTGCAGTTCTCCTGAAAGCTTTCAGCAGTAAATCTCTAAAAATGTCCACTTAAGCAGTAGAGATCATAAATATTTCGCGAGAGCAATAAAACAGAACAGAATTTTGGAAGTTATAATTTTAGTGGATATAACTGCACTTTATAAAAGGAAAGCCTCTGGGACCCAGAATAAATGCAAAACTCTGCCTGACTGAACTGCAGGACTAACCCATCTGCAAGTGGTAAATTATCCCCAGTCCCAGGTGTGGTACATTATCCTAAGGGTGTCCAGTGATTAAAGGTAAGAACGTGGCTAAAATCCAAGGGAGCACTGAACATTAATGATGGCTGGAAATTGTCAACAATTTCTCTGGAAGTTTGATTCTCTTCTATTTGTTCACATTAGCCAGGCCCAAAGTTCAACGGATTGTCTATGATCAGTTCCTGCAGTGTATAGATAACACCAGTGAAAGAAGCCCAGAGCCTCTTTATTTGCCCCGGAAGGAGTTTACACAGAAAAATAAGTGTTAATCCTATTACCTGTAATCCCTCAGGCTGCCAGAAAGGCAGACATTTACTGAAGCCTTTTTCCTAAAATTCAACTGATGATTGCAAAGCAACATAAAAATTTCCCTACATTTGTACTTTCCCTTCTACCTCACTTATTCTGTTTAGCACATATTTGCATAAAGGTTATTTCACATTTAAATCCATGTCTGGGTGTTAGAAACTTCCAAAGAACCAGGGTTAAGCTTAACTGATTTCCTCAACTCTGCCACCATCCCACCTCCCCACACATTCATTTGTACATAAAGAGCACTATGGATTTTAAATGCAAGTGACTATTATTTCATAGTTACATCCATAGTTTTGTTAACATCCTTTACATTTTCCACCAAGTTGTTCAATTGTCTGTCTGCTTGGCCCCAGCCTAATTTTAATTGGTATAGTCTAGGCAACTCATAATTACAGTATTGAATGAGGGTAGCAGGAATAGGAAAGTTACATCTGAAGAACAGATGAAAAAAAAAACGTTCACGCAAGGAGACCCAAGCTTCTGATTTTTAATCAGCATTTGATTGTAACCTATTAAAATGCCAAATCACTTGGCACCATTGTGCTATGTCTTCATAGCTTAAAATAGTCACTGTGAAATAGTCATTCCACCCCAGTTTTCCCATCTGATAATAATAACACATTGTACCTTTTGCTGTTGCTTCTAATTTTTTGGTTTTTGTTATTGTGCAATGGAAATGTCAGCCTCTTGCATCTAAGGGTCACCTTCTAGTTTATTTGGAAAATAAAAGGATAAGAGAGTTTTGTCTCATGTCTCCTCCTGAGTCATTGACTTGGCAGTGCTGGCCACATCATGTGTTCCTCTCAGCCTTGCTTTCAGCATGGCCTTTGGTCACGACTCTGTTCACTGCTGTTTACCACGTGGACTTGGGTTTTCCTTGGTAGTATAGCACTAGTACAAGAAAGGCCACACTTTCTGTCACTGACCTGCTACGTTGTTCCCATTAATACTCAACCACAAAGTTTATATGTGTTAGGAATTCTGCTGCAGTTTTGGAGGTTGTTCCAAGTAAAACTCTCTAGAAAAAAGAAAAAGGAAAAAAACTTGCTGGATACTCTTATGGGTTGGTTTTACCCATGGCCTTTTTTCAATCTGGGCACTCCTGGGATAGAGTAATCATCCCACAGGGCCTTTCCCAAAGACTGAGATGGAGAATCCATGGCAAGCCTATATGAACAGGGAGTGGGAGTTGGATTTGGAAGGAGAAGGGCCTGCAGAAAATACCCTATAATGGGTTCTGCAGCTGAAAGTCTGGTTACCATCCCAGGCCCTCTGCTAGTGTGAGGGAAACCCAGCCTAGGTTCCTGGGTGGATGTGTGTTGTTTTTGCACACCCAGAATTATTCTCTGTATACTTGTGATTGTGACTTGAATTTCCCTGGGGGATCAACTCCACCCACTTCCATTCCTTGTGGTTTAGGTTGGGCTGGCCCAACTCCTGGACTCAAAGGTGAACTCATGACCCAGATCTGGACAATTGGTATTGTGGTCTGGCCATGATGATTGGTTAATCACTCTTTAATCTAAGTAATCCCAGGAATTTTTTTGTTGCTATTGTTTTTTGGAGCAACTAGAAAATACAGGTTGTGGGGGGTGTGTGTGTGTGTGTGTGTGTGTGTGTGTGTATGTGTGTGTGTATCCTAAGACAGCTAGCAGAGAGGATGAAGTGAGTCTGAACTGCCAACAGGCACCATAAAAGCATAAAAATAAGGACAAACAAGAGGAAAGCAGGGTTGACATGTGAGGACAGACTGGCTCTGATGATGGCATTTGAGACCCCTGGATCTACCCATGATCAAAGCTGGTACTGCTGGAATTTTCAGTGTGAGAACAAAGTATTTTTTTTTCTGCATTATCAATTTGAATTGATTTCCTGTCATTCACAATCTAAAGGTTCCTGAATGATATATTTTTGAATTTTTTCCTATTTATACAAGTTCCATGAATACTCACTCACACACACAGAGACACACACACACATCTCCCAAGGACAAACAATAATCTAAAAAATATTGCAATCTATGTCCATATTAGAAGAGAAAAGCACTTTTTTGTGAATATAATATGCACCAATATCTGTGAACAATGTCTACAGTAATTTATATTACTATGTAAAGCATTTCCATTTCCATCTCTTCTTTCCAGACGATAATGCTAGCCCTTAGTGAAGCAAAGAAACGGGCTCCATTGCAGCCCCATGACAAATAACAAAATTACATTTTTTTTAAGTTATATAAAAGTTAGCTGGAATCGAAATTAAAATTTTTGAAATTAAAGGTCAAATTATTAGGCAGGCATCCATCTCCCTAACTCATTATATCTTTGGAAGCAGGAGGTCACAGTATAGGATTTATTTCCCCGTTCAAATTCCTAAGCTAAAGGAATGAGGGAGAGGCAGGACAGAAGGCTGATTCTTCCAGTAACATTTGAACTTAGGCAGTTTTCACCAATGTTTATAAAGAAGACAAAATCTATTTACATTTTTCCAAATTCCTTAGGATCTATCTCAATTACACATACATTCATCTCCATTTATTAGAGAAGAGTGGTTTATATTAGATAGAAATAGACCAATGGAGAGAAGAAAGATTGAGAAATCAGTGTACCACTCTACAACAGATGGGATTTGCTGAGATATCTTTATCATTGAGTTGAAGATATGATTTAAGTCGTTATGCTCAACTTGAATGGAAGAGATTTACAAATTTTCTTATGCTAAGGGTAACTATTTTTCCAAAGACTACATATTTTAGTAGATCAGAGTTTTGTTGCCTGCACATCTATTAACTTGTTCCTGGTGTACTGTGTTGTGTGTGTGTATAGTGAGAAGGGGTAATGAAGACAGAGGAGGGAAGGTAAGAGCCTTTATTTTCTTCATTTGTTCTATCTCCCTTAAGAAGAATAAAGTAGTAAACCAGAGATGGAATCCCATTTTGGGTGTCAGAAATTATTCCTCTTCCAAAAGACTCCAGCCTGTGTTTCACATTCATATGATACTGAATAGTGTGAAGTTCTTTTCATGGTCAGTGATGGTGAGATATGACCCTTGCCTGTAGAATACTGGCATCAGTAGTAAAATTTGTTTAGCTCATCAATAGCTAATTGGTTCTCAGTCCAGTGCATATTTTGACTCAATTTATATATATGGAGTCAAAACATGTTTATAAACAACTAAACTAAATATGTACGTGTGACATATATATTTTAGTTAGTATATAAATATTAGTTTAATATAGTTTAACCTATAAATTTATATATATTTAGATTTGTTGATTTTTTTTAATGTATATCAAAGTATTGAGGCCAGGAGCAAAGACTTTCATGCCTTCTTAAATACACTCTCCTTTCTGGCAGTCCTTTTCAGCAGTCCCTTTTAGCCAGTGTAAAGTTGATATAACACTTTTAATTCCATCAGCACAGAGCACAGTAGTTATTTACTTATCTTAGGCACTTTTTAACTGCCAGGATATCTTAATCTCTGGGAGATTATTGACTTTAGCCTAATCTGCGATACTTTTCTTTGGGATGAAAACCCTTCCCCTTCCCTCTTCCCTTCTCAGCTAAGCAGATCTGTTCCACTCCCATGAGTTGCTATCGGTATGGTATGACTGTTCACTGAGGACTAATTGTTTTCTTCCTAGGCCTCTACTCTTATGATAGAGCCTGTGTTGATCATCAACTTTAACTCCCAGAGTAAAATCTAAAGTCTTTAGCATAGTACTTGAGAATCTCCTTGATCTTAAATCCCTTCTTTTTATTAGATTGAATCATCTATAGTTCCCACTCATGCAGACATCCATGTACCTGGTTTTAAATGTGGAGAAAGTTCTCTATTTATATAACATCATATACAATATATGATCCTGTTAGCTTTTTAATCAGTGATTGGCATGTTTATTATTTTTCTTGCAAATGCATTAGATTCTGCTAATGGTTTTCCTAATGTTATATGAGTCTGCTTCTTAGAACGAATTTCATATCTTCACGGTGGATAATTATTTCAATATGATGTGTTCTGTTTTAAAAATTTATATAGAATTTTCCAAAAATACTCATAAATGAAGTCATATTATATAATCTTTTGGATGTTTTATGTTTGGGTACCAAAATTGAATCTGTTTCATAAAGTGAATAAGATAGTAATTTTTAAATTAAATTTGTTTCATAAAGTGAATAAGATAGTAATTTTTAAATTGCCACTTTGGCAATTTTATATTTTTGTTGGAGCATTTCTCCTGTATATGTAATTGTCACTTTTATTAGTCTATTTTCTATTAAAAAGAATAAGATTTCCTTTGCTCCAATGTCTGGTTAGCAGATCCATCTAAAAAAAATATTTATCAGTGGTTAAGAGCATAAACTCCTGAAGCCAGAATTCCTGCCACATTAGTGTCTTCTTAGCTAAGTATTCAATCTTTCTGCGCCCCAGCTTTCTCATCTTTAAAATGGGAATGATGATAATAATAATATTATAAATATTGCAAAGTTACTATAAAGATCAAGTGTGTTACTAAATAGAGAGCACTTACGAACACCTAGCGGGTAGAAAGCGCAGCTATTTCTCATCTACTGGTTGCTTAATAAGCATCTCAAACTTAAGAAGTCTAAAACAGAATTTTTACCTACTATTGATCTTCTCAAACTGCTCCTTCTATAATCTCCTTCTTGGTAAAATGTACCATATTTTCACAAAGTTGCTTAGTCCAAAAAAACCACTAGCTATCATTGATCCCTCTCTTTCCCTCATCTCTCACATCTAAATTGTCAGAAAGTCTTATCTGCTCAGAATTTTAAAATATCTTCTAAATTAGACAATTTCTCACTATTACATAATTGCTGTCCAAGCCCACAGTGCTGTCACCTTTACTACTGGCATGGCCACTTTAATGATCTCTCTGGTCCTACTCCTATGCCACTTCATTTCATTCTCCAAACAGAAGCCAGCATCTTCTCCTTAAAAAAATTGGATCAAATTATCTTTCTCCTAAAAATTGTTTGAGACTTCCTCTTACATTTAAAAGAAAACCCCAATTCTTTATTCTAATCTGAAAGGCCTGCATACACTGGCCCCTTATCACCCAGCCTCATTTCTTATCAGGTCCTGACAGTGGGTGTCTTCAAATACATGAAGCTGGTTTCTACCTTAATCCTTAGGGTTTGCTATCTGGTCTGCCTGGAATGCTTTTCTCCAAGATCTCAGATAGCAGTTTTCTTCTTTTCATTTTTGTTTCTACTTACGTGTGATCTCAGAGAGGTCTTCCCTGATCATCCATTCTAAAATAGTTCCCGCTATAATTATTTATTCTGTTATTTTCCTCATAGCACCTCTTACTTTGATCTAAAAGTACATTATTTGTTTATTATCTATATGATTATGGCCTTTTTCTCCCCTAGAGATATAGGGGCAGGGATTCAATCTTTTCATTTTCAACACTGAAACACTCAGTGCTCATAGCAATGCACAGAGGCTCTCAATCAGTACTTATTCAACCAGTCACTATTTAACAAATAGTTCCAATAGCTACTTTTTCCTTTACAGCTACGCACTCCTCCCATTTTATGGTAGATGGGAACAGGCCTTTGTTCTCTAGGGAAGGCCCTTGTCTTTTCCTAGCTTGAGACTTCTACCTGGTTTTAAATGCCTCGTAGCAGAACTGATCCAGGTTTATTCAGCACTTCAAGATTTGAGTAAAAAGTAAACACAGACCACCAGGCTGTCAATGTCTGGCATGATGCCATCACCCCATTAAAGAAAAAAAAGGATTTAAGGTGAAACCTTAACTTTATCCATATTATTATCCAATAGAAAAGAATACAGAAAAAAATACAGTGAGAATTATATTTGGAAGCAATGAGACAGAAGGTATAAACAAAAGAAGAATTGTGTTCCAGAAAATATACGCAGGCATTCTAAAAAGATCTGGCCCTGAGAATTTAAAAACACCAAAACACAGAATTCTCTGTCCACACAACAGGATACATATGTAAATATCTTACTAGGTTTATATTTAAAACGGTAGGAGAAGGAAGTGTTATGCTGATGTGTTACACTGCCATTATCAAAGGACCACGGAAACAAAATCCATAGCCACCCTTTTAAAAAGAAAGGAAAGGGGCGGAGAGGGGAAGGGAGGGGAGGGGAGGCAAAGAAATCTTACCTGAAGCCACTCATGAAAAGTATCAGAATCCAATTCGCTGTTTGCATCAGGCTGCTTTGCAACCCCTGTTGCTAGATATTCAAGACCCTTCTCTCCTATTCCCCTCCTTTCCTCTTTTCCTGTTCACTCTTCATAGCTGAGTCCTCCCTTTACCCTGCCACAATCTATGTGCCCATGACAAAACTAAATTCAAACAAATAAATGTACCCTATATATATATTCACATTTCTTTTCAAGTGAAGTAGCTTCAAGACCAACTCCAACCACGGCTCATACCCTTATTGTTAATACTAGTCCTCTATTGCAGCATAATTTTGATGCCTTTATATATAGTGGGCATGGAATATCAAGTATCCACAAATTAGATGTCCAGCATTTAAGGCTTTTCATCTTTTTCTACAGCTCAGTTTAATCACTTCATAAAGTTATCATTCCTTTAAATGGTAGAAAATTTACTCAACATTGCTCTGGACAAACTTGACAATTTTAGGCTTAAACTTATGAAGTTTTTATAAGGACTAAATTTACAAATGTGCTTAAAAACTCTTTGTAGAACAAGAAGCTTCTCAAATTTTTCCATGTAAAGAAGAGGTTATCCTCCTCTTTTTTCCATATATCTTCCATGTAAAGACAAACTACCCATTATAATTTTTCCCTGACTTATTCAGTTTATAGTGTATGATGAGAGGTAGTAGTTTGTGCAGTAAAGAGGAGGGAAATGGAATTAAAAAGGTGTCATAGACAGTCTTATTTCTACTAAAATTCAACATGCTTTATGTCTTTTAAACATCACCCCAAAATCTTGGGGTATAGGTCTGCATTTTAGGTATGAGAAAGTTCAGGCTCAAGAAAGTTGAGAAACTGATCAAAGGCACAAGCTAATAAAAAGCAACCCAGGGTTTCTACTCTTATGCTTTTATTGTAGCATTTATTCCTTAGGTATATGTGTGTGGCTTTTGTTCATCTGAATTTCTTTTAAGTCCTTTGTACAACTTAAAATGAGGGAAAGAGTTGGAGTAGAAAAATGTTATAAATCACTGAAAATAAATAAAAACATTCAGAGGATTGAACTGAGTTGGTGTCTGAGATACTGGGTACACAGAAAATCTTCTAAAGAAGATTTAAGCTCTATAATATTATATATGAGCAATGGAGCTACAAAATTTCCCAGTTGATATTTACATTAGCACTTATCACTGGTCTAAGTGAGAGATTTATTCAACATAAACACAGGCTAACTCTTATTCCCACAATATGGATGAGAAAACCATGACATAGATGCATTGAGTAATATTGTTAAATCATCCTCTCGTCATCTGCTGTATACTATAATAAATCTGAACATCCAAAATTAATATTTTGTCTCCTCCATGAAAATGGACTTAGAAATAGAACTTTCTTGATTGTTTCCCCCACAGAATTTCTGTCCTACTGATAGGTTCAGGATATGTGAGTAAGCATGAAGATAAAGTTTAAATATCTTTTACCTCGAGTATACTCATCATATATTTTTAGACTTATAAATACAACTAACATTGGAAACTTCAAATGCCAAATTTTCAATATATTAATTCAGGGGATGCAAAGAAAATTGATGAATATGTGGCTAAGCTTCGTAATAAGTAATAAATCACTTTAATTCTTTAAAAATAATTTGAATAAATACATATACATCTATATTTGTCTATATCTATCTCTATA